ATTTTTTTAAGAAAATCATGTGAAATGTATTATATATAAAAATAAGAGAATAAAGATATGAAGATAGATAATATATAATAGGTAATATGAATATATTAACAATAAAAGAATCGTCTCATACAATCACTTTCGTGAATTAAGGATGATTAATTAAGAATATCTTTGTCAATTAATTACATAAATTCACAATGGTTCCACACCCAACTCATCCGCGGTCCCATAAATTAGATTGCCTAATTACTTCAGAACGTTTGTAACAGAAAAAGATTTTTAATTAAATCGCCTACTGAATCGCGTGCGAACCGAGAAAGTTCTATGAAATACAAAAAAGATTTAGTAATTTTATACAGCTGGCGTTCGGCCAAATTCTGTTAATTCGACCGGTGTTTTATTACATTTTGCGAAGACGACCTGCACTGGAAAGGCTTACGATATTTTTAAAATCTATTTCTATTCGATACAACCACAGAGTTATTTTCTTTGATCGCTCCAAAATAAGGTATGATATTACGGTTGAAAAAAACAACTAAATACAAAATGTAAAGGCAAATTTCTTTATGTTGTTGCATTACAAAGCGACAAATCTCTAGTGTCACTTATACTAAATAGTATTCTTTTTATTTTATAAAATAATCAGGTCGTTTAAAATGATATGACAAAATACAGTCCAATGAAATATGACTAAGTCTAAATGTCCAGAATGCACGTAAAATTCCGTAGATTAATGTGTCCATTCAGAAACTGAAAATGTCGCGTAACTTGATACAATTAACTGAAATGGGCAGCTTGCCAAATCCGTTCTTTTGTTGATGCATGCAATCTCATGTCGGCCAGAACAATTATATGTCATGACAACTTTAACTTTATTCCACACTAGCTGTTCCCGTGCGACTTCATCCGCATGAAGTTATGAAAATTTTATTTTATTGTTTTCATTTGTCAAATTATCAATTACAAATGTCAAAATGACATGACTTGATGACAACCTTGTATCCTTGATGTTGGCAGCAACTTATAATCTCTTTCCCACATTAGTATTTTTATCCAAAATATTTACCCCCTAAGTTTAATAGCGCTAAAATATATAGCCTAAAGCGTGACGCAAGTGTAGGGCTTTTTATTAAAAAAAGAATTATTCAAAAATATGCTGTAATTGCTGACATCTTAGGCAACAAAGAAGTTTGTGTTTACGCTTTATTATAATAGTATAGACTAATATTATAACTTCGTATTAATATTATAAGTGCAAAAATTTATTTGGTTTTTTTTTATCTCTGGGACAGTACTTTAGAAACGACTTAACGGATCGTTTTAAAATATGGAACAGAAATTGTAATTTTAAATTTCTTATAAGATACTCACTTGTTTTAGTACTAAAACTGTCCAAACTTACTCAAGTCTAAATGCACTGGCGAATCGAAAAGCGTGTAATTTGCTGAGAAGGTTTGTTCTGAATCATAAAAAAATACGATCGCAATCGGACAGTCCTTTGTAATCTGACATTAAAATTTTTTTTATCTCAAGTTTTCTCATATATGAAGAGTGAAATGTTATTTAACTAAATGTTTTTAAATTAAATCGTGTAGTTAATATTATTTTTAATTTATCTGTTGCCCTAGATAAGGTACAACCGCTTGACACGATGTAATTTGACTGAATTTGAAATATTAATTGAACAATTATTCAGTGATATCATTCATTTGTTTTTCATGTAACAACAAGTTGGTAGTTTTCAATGCAATCTGTTTTTCGTGTACTGCGTTACTTTTTTAAAAATGCCATCACCGCTAACCAAGATGTCGTCTGGTATGTAGTTATGCAAACAGAATTTTAGGCAAAAGTACAAAGCCTGAATATAAATGTGTTGTTTTCGGTACAGGTGGCATTTGTGCGAAATTGAATATGCCAGTTCGATGGAAATATCTATTTCTTTTTACAGCACTATTAATTTTATATGAAAAATTGAAAATAATTATTTGGAATTTCTATCTTCTACTCATATTATGTATGGACATTTAAATTATACTTAATATGCTAGACGTATATGACAATGTATGGATATTGTTGATTGTTTTCTACGTCCATCTTATTGACCAGGTAGGCGTTGGTTTCTTCAAAACTTTAAAGCAACCAAAATTTTTTCACATGCATCATTAATGAATTCTCGACTCGGTATTAACACAACTACCAATGCGATTATTTGAAACTGTCAAAAGAAAACAAACATCGCATCATATTCATATATCAAATAGAAAAAACTAAGTAACAGAAAATTTTAAAACGCATGTTTAAGTCAATTGCAATCCAAAAATGATTGATGATGATTCCATACATTTATATATACTTGAATTACACCGATAATTTATAGTCTGTATTTATTTTACAATAAAACATAATTTATATAAATATCAGAGTTTCAAGAGATATTTATTTTAGACAAGTAAAGGCTCTTAGTACTTCGTTTGCTTTCACTATTTGTTTAGGAATGGAATGTTTGTTTTCTTTACACGCTTCATCAATTTTTATAAAAGCATTTATTTCAAACAACAATACATATACCTACTGTATTATGCCAAAAAATATAGTTAGACACTGTTTAGTTAAACTCATTTTAAAACTCTGATCGCCGGTGATTGGTTTTTGTTTTGCCATAAATAAATATCACCACAGGTCTTCCGCTACACAATTTACTAAAGAACTTTATGATATTTGAGCGATATTTTATTGACAGTTTTCGGATATATGAAGAAGGTTGAAAACTCGTTTTTACATATTTATGAATTCGGGTCATTCTCAAATATCATATAAAAGTTCTATTTATATTTATGCCAGGACATTTATCTTCAATTTTCATAAACACGAAACATACAAGTACATTAGAGATGACTGTTATTATAATAAAAAAAAAATATTATTATTTTATCTTCCAAAACATTACTAATAAAGAAATTAAAACGAAAGACTCTATTTTAACCGTAGAATTTCACAGTCGTTAGACTTTTCTCTCTGTTTTGTCGAATTGTTTGCATACAAGAGTATCAGTTGAAACCCAGAGTTTAGTTTAGTATACAAAACAAAAAGTTGGAATAGATAAGTGACGTCACAATTGTGCATTCAGACAAAGAATAATAGAGGTGCAAGTGAAACATTGCAACTCTGAAATTTGTCTTCAAGAACAGCTTCGTCCTCCGCTACACGGAGATCCCTCCCATTTGAATTGAATGAGAACGCAGTTAAGAAGACGTTGGGTTTTTTGTCGTTTCGCTCAAAAATTTGTCACCGTCTATTTACTTCTTTAAATGCTGAAAAAGATATAAGAAGAACTTAGTCTAACTTTAGACGAGTCGCTTAATGTAGCTCAAGTTTGGCGATAATTTTTGATTGTAAAAAAATAAGTTCGGAGTATATCGCTCAGTGGTTTGAACACTTGACTTGTAATCCACAGGTCTTGGGTTCGAATCCCACTGCCGTGTACCAATGTGATTTTCGATTTTTCGAATTTTCATATGTACATAATTAACCCGACGTTCTTACGGTAAAGGAAAACATCGTGATGCAACCTGCACATATCGGCGAAGAAATTCAAAGATATATGTGAAGTCAACCAACCCGCACTTGGCCAGCGTGGTTGACTATGGCCTAGTCACCCCTCATTAGGGTAGGCTCCGAGCCCCTCGGTGGGGACGTATAGTGAGCTGGTGATGTTGGTGACGATATGAATCATCTTAGTACATAGTAAAAGGTTAATGAACATCTTATAAATAAAAATGACCCATTTAATGTTTATAATATTTTCGCATACGAAAAATATTACTCGTGAGATTAACTCCAAATTAAATTTTTATCAAGAAATTTTATTTAATATTGACAACATTAGTACAGATTTCTTAATCCCCTCGAACAAAAGTCTTATTTTATCTCTTACTTTTGTTGATATTTCAAAACTTTGCAGTACGCTATCAGATTTTATGACTGGAAAATTCGATGTATACAATATGGACAAAAACTTTTTTGGATTTTGAACTATACTTTTTTTGATTTTTAAATTCAAAACAAAAGCTTTGTTGAGTTAAAAGAATGCTCAAAAATCGTAGAGATTTTTTTGTACATTGCACGTTCGCGACCATGGATAATAAATTTTAGGCAAGCAATTCTGAAGGCATTTCTTTTGTTAAAAATAGAAGGCTTGATTTATACGTTTAAAAATAAGGTTTTAGCTACAGGAATGTGTTAAGAACTCATATGAGCATAGATTTATTATCACGAATAGAATCCAGCAGATGGCGTTGTTCTGCACGCCAAAACTTTTGCCCTAGTCTAATTAGCACGATACGTACATACTAAGTCCAAGAACTAAAAAAAGTCACAAATTTCCAATGTAAATATAACTCGCATGTCTATATGATATAGAACTTATATAAATGAAATTCAATTTAAAAGAATAGTATAAATAAAATTCAACAGTTTGAAAACTCTTTGAAATTAAGGTAATTTTTCTAAGATCTTTTAAAGTAACCAGACTAACTTTTAAAAAATACTAAAGAATGGAGACGCTTCCCAGACTTTCTTTGTGTATCCCAAACGAGCACCGGATTGAGGTAATAAATCTCGGTCTTCTCTCGGTATTTTAAAAAGCGCGGGCTCCGAGCTTGTACCTTACAGCTATATTTTTTCCACAATTCTTAAATTATGCTTCTTTACTCGGAAGGGTAAATTACATACTTAAGGAGGTAAGTTATTATAGAGTTCATATAGTAATACAAGCTTTCGCCCACGACTCCATCCGCGTGGAATTAAAACAACTAAAAGTGTGTAGCCTATGTGTCCTTCCATATCTATACCAAATTTCATCAAAACACGTTCAGCCGTGTAGGCTACAAACTTTAACAAACATCCATCCATCTAAACTTTCGCATTTATAGTATTAGTAAGATATTTGACAATATAATTCCTTACTAAAAATGTAATATTAAAATAGGGTAATTAAAATTGGATTCATTGGTACTTATATATTTTTATTGTTTAAATACAAAATTAAAAACTTCCAATTCATTTTACATTTCTTTGAAATGCTTTCATACAAACTTAGAATACAACAGTCGTATAAAATACAAACACTAAAAGTACACCTAGAAACCTTAATACTAAACCCACAAGTTAGCATGAAAAATCAAGGTGGAGTACAAAATTCCACTACATATCGTTGCATAATTAACGATAGCAGATTAACGAAAATTATAGAATTGCCAAAAAAAAACAATTTATAATTCATAATTTCACCCAAAACAATTTGGTACCTCTGCTAACTTATTCTTTGGAAATTAATCCTAAAAACTTTTCGTTGGTAACAATCACATGTAAAATTTACAAGTTAAACTTAAAAATACAGACACCCCCAATAATGATGATGAGTATTTACAATCGCATGATTATGTACTATAACGATAGTGAACAACAATTAAAACATCAATTCACATGTCTACAAACTATTCGACAAAGCACATTTCTTCTTTTTGTACTGATGAAATTAATTTGAACAGTGGTAGAGCCAGCTTTAACATCTTCGCACTGCAGGGCCGGCTCGCCCGGTGTAGTACCACGACCACACAGAACACAGGCGTGAAGTTGAGGCATTTTCGCGTTTCGTCTGATGAATGTGGTGACAGAAGCCTAATTTAAGTCCTTTTCCCTTTCCACCCTTTTCTTAAGTGGAAAGGATGGGAAGGAAAAGTGGATTTGATGGTGGAGAAGACGCTTAGGAAGGGGAAATGTCCTCTTTATGAGAGCTCCTCCTCCGCCAACTAAGGGTAGGCAACGCATCTACAGTTGCGGATGTTTATGGGCAGCGGTCGCTTTTCATTTCGGTGGATTCAGGCGGCCACTTGCTCGTTTGCTACCTTGTATTATAAAAAAAAAATTATAGGTTCTACTTTTAAAAAAAAGCTGACCAATAAATGACACATTCCCCGGGTGTAATGATAAGTTAGCTTGTTGTACTTCATTGGTTTTCTCGCATCACGAATTCAGCCATAAAGATAATAATTACGGAATTTATTTGCACACACATAAGATAGGGGACGTACAAAAAAGAGATGTATCCTATTTTAATACCTCTTTCTTGTAAAGCTTTATACACTAGCTTTTAGAAGACCTAACATTACGTTTCTAATTTAGATTGACTAGTGTTTCGGGAGGACTCTGCGGATATTGACCTTCTAGCGTTGTCGTTCATGGCTGGTCTAGCTGAAATATAAAAAAAATCTATTAAATAACAACCACATATATGTTATGATTAAAATAGATGAAAACGAATTTAATTTTGAGAAAAAAGAGTCAGACGTCTCTTGACGTTAAAAAAAATGTTGCAAAACCATATTTACCAAATATCCTGAGTAGAATCCTCTCGATCCCGTGGATAGGAGATTCGAAGATCACACACAGTATTACCGCTAGATTAAATGTTAGTACTAAGTGTGCAATACTATTCGCTACCTAGAACATCAAAATTAGACGCATTAGTTACGATTGTAATCCACAAATGTATTTACAAAAGAAAGTGTAATAAGACTTCGGTCTTTTAGTACTTAAATAGGTCAACTATTAGCATAAATCAAATTGTAAGCTGACAGAGATATAAACTATTTTCTGCTTTAACCTTAACCTTATCCTATTTGGGATTGACCTCGTTATCAATAATCTATATCTTCAGATATATCAAACAAAATTGAACTTACCATTGTGAAAAATGTGACGTGTAAAGGATGCCTCAACTGACTGACGTAATATAACTCCACGATCCCGTTGACGAGATAAGCGCAAAACGTCAGCCGAGATATCGGCACGAACACTTTCCACGTTAATAATTTATTCAGAATACCTTGAAGGAAAGGGACACAAAGTTAAATTTAAATAACACCGAAGAAATAAATGTACAAAAAAAAGATATCCGACAGAAATTAGGAATATTTGAGTAATTGTATACTAAAGACATGATAAAAAAAAAACTAAAACTAATAAATGCTAGTAAAAAGGATTGTGAGTTATACATATTATAATATACATTATAAATATGACAAGTTATTACGCAAAGAGACATTGGTCATATAGTACTAAGGAAGTCAATAAGCAAGTATTTGCACCTCCATTTCCCGTACAACAAGCGATGATCAGCCAGCCATTAGCAATGCTCCAGGCAAGCTTGTGCAACGACACGTAGGCAGCGGCCTCTATCTTGTTGTACTTGTACCACTCCTGGTAGAACACACTAACTGAGAATACAGCAACTGTCCCCAAGACAATACTCGTCAGCCAACCGAAGATTTTCATCAGACGAGACATCTTGTAACTGAAATAAAAACAATAATAAATTCTTCAAGTTCATATTAATGAACATTTGCAGGTTGTACAAGTTATTATAAAGGGTTTTAACTTCATATTACTACTGCTATTACATACTTCTCTGATTGGATACGATGCAAAATGTAGCCTGTGAGCAAACCCATAAAATATGGTGTCATCTTCATATGAGTTTTTATGTATGCCTCTTTGAAATAGAAGTTGGTGGCGAAATCCGTGAATTCTCTGAAAAAACATCAAAACATTAATTTGAGTTTTTTCTTGTCTACTAACACGTTTATCTAATTGAAGATTAAACTTACTTTGCGTAAAACAATAATGTTGGGTCAAGCTGATCTCTATAAGTTATATACGAAGGTATGGCAAGAGAAATAAAGGTAGCCAACGCTAGGAATACACTGCCCAAACGTCGCCACCTCCAAAGACTGTAAATAAATATTGGAGCTACGAAGAAAAGTTGTGTATCCACGGACAGGTACCAGGATTGGAACATGCACTGAAATAAATTAGTTTTTCGTTTAGACACGTCTTAAAATTTGAAGTCAATCTAGGAATACTATAGCAAGAAAATAGTCGAACGTCTTAACACTTCAGACTTCTAACTAAGACAGAAGTTTCCTTGGTACTAATAGAAACTTACTATGTTATCAGTTTTGATGTAATTGTTTATGTACAATATGTTAGCCCACCAAGACGACATACAACGTTCCTGTTCTACAACCATTCTATTTTTCCACAAAGGTCCTTCACCTATTTTTGGCAGCCAAGTCATGTAGAACAAAATAACAACTGCATACGCCGGTGTTACCCTGTATCGGAAAATAAATCACTATTAGATAAGACTGGAAAAAATTCAGACGATTTAAAAGTCAGAGAGAGAGTTAAAGTAGACATTAATACTAAAAAAGTGATTTTTAAGCATAGAAAAATGTGAACTCTAATGTTTCTATCATTCAGAATAGTTGTTTAATGAATGTTGATATTCAAATACAAATTACACACTTAAATAATTTAGGGCAGTAGTAATTGATGGGGTACAAATCGAAGACTATAACGGAACAACTGAAATAGCCAAAGCCAATCCCGTATCCGAAATAAATAACCTAATTATTGTTAAATGCAATTAGCACGATCCTTTGAACAGAAAGCCCCAATCAGCGGCCCCTAAGGCGTAACTAATCGAATTAATTCCTCACTAAATCTGAATTAATCAACCCGCCAATGTTTCGAAGTCAGTGTAGTTAAATCCTATACATTGGTAGAGAATTCACTGTTCTTCCCTTTGGAAATTATTCCGTTTGTTAATTGAAATCCGAACAATTTATTAAGACCCCAAAATTCAAATCGGACTCTATCAAACTAAATGGATTACAAAATCCATCTTAGCTGACAGATCAGCTTACGAAATTCAAAATTCGTATTTATAGAAGTACTAACAGTAGGGCTTATTGATTTTTACAATGAATAACTACAACTGAACAAACTAATATTAGTAACTAAGGCTAGGGTTTGTGCAACTTCACAACTGACGCGTGTTTTGCGTGAACATGGATTACTCCAGCCAACTTGGCGTAACTAATAAAAAATAGTTGTATTAATCAATTCAAAGTTACCTAATATACCGAAAAATAAGTATCGGTATAACGTTGAGTTTCCCACGGCGTTTGTCGAACTCGATGAGTAACAGTCGGCAGAAGAGGAATGCGCTCAACATGAGGAACGTGTCCACGAGCAGCGTGTTGCTCAACATGAAGGAATTACCCGGGTGTCTGATTAACTGAAACATAAGGGAAACGTGAATCGGTTTCAAAAATTAATACTATTGATAATATTACTAATATTATAATCGCGAAAGTATAGATGTTTGTTAGAGTTTGTAGCCTAAAGTGCTGAACGGATCTCAATAAAATTTTGCATGGATGTAGAAGATAGTCTGGAAGAATATATAGGCTATTTTTTTAAATCCAGCTAGAAAGCTAAACGTTACTAAATTTATAACTTTAGTTTGTACTATAGTCATCGTCATCAAATGAACTTGATGCGTCGTTCGACGAATTCTCCCATATAAAAGGTATAGGCAATTTGTACCTACTGTGTTATTATAAATATGGTCTATTACTATGAGCACTTGCGTTGATTCATTCTGATTACAATAAATAAACGACTGGGAACATTTAAATTGCCTTTGCCACTTGATTTAATTAGCAATATTTTGCGTTCGCAGACAATTTATTGATAATCCTTTTTTAATGAAACTGGCTGAGGCCGTTATCTAAAATTATGAGTACTCCAACCTTTCCAAATTATAAACGAATAACATAACTCTTGCTTGTTTACGGAGTTTAAGAGTTTTGTATTCAAGGGAAGGTTCTAGAAACAATTAATGTATTCTTTGACACATATCCTGTTAATGTTTCGCACATCCTTTGGTAAATTACATGTTACGCGTAAGGTCACAAAAATATGCATTCAAAAGTTATGTAACACATCGAAATGACAATATTATTTAATTTTTAACTCGACCTCACATTGAACATATTTACGTGTAATTTCAATCAAAACATGTTTGTATTGACATAAAATTTATAATAATAGCAAATAACCTTTATTTTGACCTATTTATCTCCTTTCTCTCTCGTGTTCTTAATGATAAAAGAAACTCTACCAGGGGTTAATTTTTAATACACAGTGCCAAAGGATGGTGTACAACGAAAAAAATGTTAAAAACTCTAATACTCACTCTATCAACTTGAATAAACTAATAAACAACATGAAAACAAGATATATTTTTGTAAATTTTAGTAAAGAGATAGCGAAGAAAGTAATAAAAAGAAACAAAGTGTAAAAACCGAATACTGGACATATTTTAATAATTGTGTATAGGTATATATTTTAAAATGTAGTCATAATTATAATCTAGTCCTAGTAGTAATAGTAACTTATTGTTTTTAATTGTAAATAGGTATGTATTTTAAAATGTATTATTGGTTGTATTTTATATTGGAACTGTAAGTATTGTATTTTAAATAAAATAAAGTAAACAAAGTCCTTGGATTCACCACGCCAAGGGGAGAACGACGGGGCAGCAAAAGGCCGTATAAAAAAAATACTCACTCTATCCCAAGCTTCTGCATCCATAACAGGTCCACTGCCAATAAACATGCAAGCATGACCGGCAACTATGAAAATCATTGCCAAAGATTTGATTCCAGAAATACATTCCAATCCTAAGTCATTGTTTTGTTTGGTAGAAATTATCTTCTTTATGTTATTGATGAGTGAGAAGGAAACGATCAGCTCGTGTGTCACCGTTCTCTTCTCTTTGCCGAAGGCTATCGTGTAAATCTCATAGAGAGAGCATAAAATAAGTAATGCAATAAAACCCAACATCAACGATCTGTAATAAAAGTGAATAAAGTACAAAAGCGAAATACATTTAGTAGTTTGTAGTACCACTTGAAAACGAAAAAGTAAACCCTTCTACTTGTATCTTGAAAACCACCGTTTATTATCTGTTACTTCATTATTGTATAGATTGATATCGACACTTAAGGCGCGCGAACACCTTTGACGAATCGCACAATCGTTTACTCTCGCT